AAAAATGAGTAGAAAATATTTTTTACGAGTCTCATTAATGATATCTGATAATCAAGCCTCAAATTTAATAGAAAAAAGTAATAAATAGAAATTTTGAGTTAGCAATTACTTCTAGAAGACAGAAAGAAGTTTTGTTGTACAACTCTTCCTACAGAAGAAAAAATCTATTTTTTTTCTTTTTGTTTCATATAGACTGAGTGATTGAATATTTTTAGAAAAGAATGGTAATCATTGGCCACGGGGCCGGCACGTGCTGTCATGCGTTTTTGCATTGTTTTGTGGTACCATAAGGTCATTCGGAAACCCAGTAGCTAGAAATGTGTGACATACTGGTCCTCGAATTTTGGGAAGTTAATTGCCTACGCTATACTTGGACAGGGCAATACTCCCTAGAACTCTCAGGCTCCCAGCTTTCCCAGTTCTCGAGTTACCCACATTTCCGCCAGAAAATTTCACGGGGCTGTATGCGGCAACCACGCAAGCCCGGAGGCTGAATTTCATAAATTTAAGTTGTGCATGGGCTGATAACATTCTCTTGGAATCTCAGGCTCCCTGCTTGCCCAGTCCCCCATTTACTCATATTCCGGCCAAAAACTTTCACGAGGCCGTAAGTGAGAATCACGCATGTCCGGGAGCTGAGTTTGATAAATTTAAGCTGTAGATGAGCTGGGAACATCCCTTGTAAATTTTAACCTCTCAGCTTCCCTGGTTCCCCAGTTAACCACTTTCCCGCCAAAAACTTTTACGGGGCTGTACGTGAGAACTACGCACGCCCGAGGGCTGAGTTTGATATCTTTAAGTTGCACATGGGCTAGGAATAGCCTCTTAAAATTTCAGCCTCCTGGCTTTCCTGGATCCCAAGTTAGCGATTTTTCCACCAGGAAATTCAGCCCAGAGGTGTGCACGATTCCCGCATATGTCCCCTCATGGGGACATACGCGGGAATCGTGCACACTTCTGGGCTGAATTTGAAATCTTTGAGTTCTCTATGGACGAGGAACATAACCTCAAAATTTCAGCTTTCCAGCTTTTTTGGTTCCCGAGTTAGTGATTTTCCCACCAAAACTTTCATGCGCTCATCCGCCGGGCCCAGACGTGCGTGAGAATTGTTGCCGCGGTCCTGGAGTGGCATTTGGCCGGGAAACCCACCCGCAAAATTTTGGCGCCGGAGCTTGCTTGGGTGTCGAGTTGAAATACCTGGACAGACGCGCGCGCGCATACACACACACACACACACACACACACCCGGGTCGTCGCAATAAGCGTTTTCGTACTTGCGTATATGCAAAACGCATAAAAATATAGTAAGTATTGTTTACCCATAGATGAAGTACAGCAATAGCCGTTATTACATGTTCCTTGTTGACAAGGGTTATTTGGAGAGCACTGCATGAATGTACACACAACACCAGCCAACGAACCTGAACCAAAGCCTGGTACCAGCGGAGCATATTGGCCTAAACCCAGCATACATATTCAGATAGACACTTTCATGCATCTCACTGTTTAGATAACCGAACACATGCCAATCATGGAAATGTTTGGAATCATCTGTATATGATTTTGGCGCATAGATATCACAGTCTGAGAATCGTCGTGAAGTTCAAATGAAAATCTGGTTAGAAAAAGGAAAAGGGAAAAAGCTGCGAGAGTTTAACGATAATTTAGACTCACCAGATCATAGCGTACCCCGGCACTGCAATTGTTAGCAGGAGATTCGTGAATTAAGCATGCAGGATAAAATGCTTCAAAAACAAAATTAGCTGGGGAGAGCAATATTCAAGGACTGAAACCAGCATTTCGCACGATCTCTTAAGGTCATAAAATTTTACACGAGAAAAAGCATTTGAGCGAAAATTTTCATTGAAGTAAAAGAAATATTTTGAAACAAAGGACTCTGCACCTCATTCAACTCACAGTCTCAAAAATTCACATATTGCGTTCCGAACCTTCAACAAAAGCGCAGTTCTTTTGGAAGTTTTGTTTCATTTCTCGATTTTGTCAACCGAAATCAAATTCACATTTTTCCGGTCTACTAGACTAACGCCTTCTTCTATCCTTCTTTTCGGCAGCAGAAACTACTTTCCTCCCACTGCGAGCGCTATGAATTTATGTATCATGTCTGTTGTGAAAATCCAGCATCAACTGCTCGAAGTTCATGTAATTTCGGCAACAAAACAGTAGATCGTCGACAGTTTTCAGACATATTTCCTGTGAGCTGATACAGCCTTCATGGAAGCATTCACTAGTTGGCGGTGCATCGTCAGGGCATGTGATACTGGGCATACAGCATTCTCCGTTCTTCATGCACGTATATGCATCCGGGCAGAAGCCAAGCTGAGTACAGTTTGTGTCTTTCATACAGTCACGCTGAAAGCGCTTGCATATTTTTGCATCTCAAAATCAAGCATCAAAATGCTAGATAATGGTTCGCAAAACTATTACGATATATTTTTCAAATTTCCATATGTTAAATCTTTATAACTAAACCTTTCTTACTGCACACAGCTGGCAACATACTTAAGCACTTAGGTGGGCACAGTGCATTGGCAAGTAGCATGATTCAGCTGCTAGATGTCAAAAGTTATCTCATCAGGACAATCAATCCCTCTGTGGTCCGTTTCATTGTTTTGATCGTAAATTGATACTAGCGTATACCGAGGCGACAGGACCACTATCAGTTTGTTTCCAAGTAACTTTTGAAAGAGGGGGCCATCGAAGGATGACTGCTTTTGGCAAGTGCTTTCCCTTCAGCTACGTTTGAGCACCTCAATTTCTGGCACAGTTCATCACGAAAAGAATTTGGTTGCAATTCAAATTTAAACAAATTGCGGCACGAACATGCGTTTTGTGCACAGTTTTTCAGACTAATATTTGCTGCCAATTTACTCAAAAGGCGCTCGTTGCTAAGCGCATGGAAATGCCCATCGAACTTACAGACATGTTTACTTATGTTTTCATTATCACGGCTTTAAAGTGCCCTGCAGAAATTGAAAATTTCTTAGCTTCAAATTCCACTTATTCCATAAACGCAATACAGGAAGACGTAAAGTCCGATAAATGCAACGATCTTCGAGGATTCTTGCAAAATTTAAGCTCTTCAGCTGTTTTCGTTGCAGAGCAACAAAACTGTCAAAGCCAATCTTCACATGAATGTGTGTGAGGAATAAGATTGCATGAAAATTCATTTTACAACAGCAGTGAACTGTTGCTAAGATTTCAGCTTCATATCTTTCGTTGATACGAATCGCAATATTTGGATAAACACACAGACAGCCTCTCAGCAATATGTCTCTTTTTTTTCATTTTACCAGCAGAGCAGAAAAGCATACATGTTTAAATCCTACCACTGGCATCCGCTTTTTCTCCTCCCATATTTTCGGTAATGCTTTCTACAACTACAATCTTCACAGATACATGGTCGGTCTACTTTGGACATCTCATATTTCAATCACATATAGCTTCTAGAACTGACAAAATGAAAAATAGCCAGCGATGGCTATTTTCAGAAACAAGTAGCGACGTTGTTGAAGAAAATGCGATGGATCAGTGCATCACTTGGCCCCAAATCCAAACACGGCTCAAGACAACCAAAGTATAGAAAACGACAGATCTTCTTCGACTAGACATTCACTTCTTTTTTTTAATGAAATAGCTAGTTCTGACGATACTGCATGCAGTGACCCCTTCTCATGGTCAGTTACATACTGTATGGAAACTGAATTCTCTGAATACTTTAGTATCGCAACTGCAGTGTATGAACTTGTTTCCTGTAATAAATGCAAGAAGCTTTACCAACTACATGTTATTTTGTATTGAAATGACAAAACTGCTGGAAAATCAGAACGTACGGCGATCTCATTTCCAGATATTACAGCCTCCTCGTCCGCTACGCTTTCGCCTGCAAGCGAATTGCCGTCGTGAATGAAATTTATGTGGCCGGCGAAAGCCTTCAACTGGCTGTTGCTTTTGATGTCAAATTTTCCATTCGACGAAGGGTCGGCCGCAGGTATTGAAATTGAAATGTTGGATATCGGGATCTGTCTGATTAGGGCTTCATTCTTCTTGTAATTCGCTGAACTGGAACTAGAACTCGTGCTGGTGCTGGGATGTGTCGTGAACTGTTGTAATACTCTTTTCTGTTCTCGATTATTATCGGCAGGCCGCGTCGTAACCTTAGTACTTCCACTTCCCGCGATGCTGGACCGATTAATGGCTGGTGCTGTGGAAGTAGCATTCGGCATAAAGTGCATATTAGTTCGAGACTCATTTCCCATCTCTGTGCTATAATTTGACCTTCTGCTATTGTTCACATGTGCTCGATATGGTATCTTCCCTTTGTACGATTTAGGTAACTCCTTTACTGCATCACTAATTTGTCCAGTTCCATTCTTTTGCTCCTCCCCTCGCATTTTAGCTGGCTCATTTTGAAACCTTGTGTCTAAAGTAGCATCGAACTCCGTGCGATTACAGTGCAAGCTAGGTAATAACTTGTCGAAGACGTGCAACCAGTTCAGGATCTCGTTTTCCTGATCACTGTGTGCATTTCGGCTCAGCGTCTCCCGTACGTCACTTTTGTTTGTTGCGTTTCTTTCACCCGCACTGATCCCCGTTATGTTTGTTGAACAGTGCTCCTGTCCACTACTCTCAGCCGCCGATGGACACTCTTCGTCCTGCACGACTGATACAATCGCATCACTACTGTTTGTCCATTTTTTGAGCGAATGGACGTCGATTTCATCGGGGATGATAACGCTCTTCGGCGAACTATGGGGCGATAAGTTTGAGCAGTTTGCTGAATCTGACAAAGCTGATGCGTTATAATCTGGTTTTGCAAAAGCTTCACTGAGCAATGTAATATTCGGAGAGATCTCAGAGCCAAGTGAAGTTCCGGTAGTGTTGGAAGTGTGAATATCCTGATAAGGCAGCATGAAATCAGGCCACCCTCCTAGAACTGGCCAATTATATGCATTCGAATCTTTGTTGAGCTTCACATCTGCCTCAGTGGACGCTGAAGTTCGCGAAATCTCCATGTTTTGCCCTTTGTTCAAATCATCGTTTACTGCTGGTACACCACCTGCTTCACTCTTCAATGCAGCCGCCTTTTGTTCATCATAATTATGAGTCTCATGTCGTAGTCCATCTGACTCAGCATACGGACAACAAAAACCTCCGAAGCAAAACATCTGTTGTGGACAATGCCGATGTTGAGAGCAGTGCGCAAAAAGCAGAGGTGGCAAGTCGTATGGACAGGAGATGAGCGTGCAGCAACCGCTGAAACACCTCATCATGTTGCCGCAGTAACCATCGATGCACCGCGGGTGCCCATTACAGGCAACAGCTTTTGTTCCTCCAGTTCCTGCAATAAAATCTACCATAGATCCAACTAGTCCGTTGTTCCGCACAAAGGGTCGTTGAGATTTTTGCGATCCATCTGCAAGCTCATTGGCGGTCTAGATTTCGTCCCCCTATTACTCATCATCCTGATTTTCACGTTCTTTGCCGTGGTAAAAAAATTAGAAGTAAAAAAATGTAAAAAGCTTAGAAAACAGGATTACGAAACTACTATTTTGCAGTTTCTCTATGAAATTGTTTTTCCTCGCAAGAAAAAAAAAATTTCTGCATACTCTTTTGCTGAAGTTAAAATATAAAAATGCATCTGCAGGGAAATGACCTTCAGTGTGAAAATAAATGTTACCGATGTCGCTTATTGATGCAGGTTGCTTTAGGCTCACAATTGACAGAATCGGAACAGTCCTCCAAAACACCTTCTTGCTGCCTTGTAAATGCTGCTGCGAAAATAAGAGAAAATAATCTGAGTTAAGAGGCTTACTGAGGGAAATGCGAGAAAATGCGCATTCGCATTCATTTTCCTGAATGCAGTTAGCAAGCATGCGAAGCTTGGATAAGAGATGTTATTCAAGCAAATGATGCTACGGTCATGCGGTTTAATCTGGAGTAGAATTACTGTGAATCAGAATTTGTCAGGAACACTTACGAGTCCCGAGACGACTTTGCTTAACTGGATTTGAACTAGGAACGATACAGGTTTGATGCTCGAAGCTGAATGCTTGTCCTTCCAGACACGACTTCTTCATCCAGCGGCTGCTACTGAAATTTTACAAGCAAGCTGCAACACACGACTAGCACTTCTGTGGCGAACTCGGTCAAGTATCACAAATTTGTATGCGTCCCGGAGCTGGTTGCATTAGCCTGGTTTCTTTGAAATCCAAGCAACCTTCGAAAATTGACCATACTAACCAGGACTGGAAAATACGAGCAATCTAATATGTATACTCGTGGCTGCGAATCGAATAAAAATTTGAACTAAAGACAAAAAATGCTAAAACCTGAAATGGCTGATTACCAAATTTCAAATTTTTAAATTGAGACGTGGTGACCTGTACTGTTTACTGTGTATTCATGTTTAATCCTCTGTGAATTTTGATAGAAAATTGAAGTTGCAATTTCCATGGAGATGATCCTTGAAAACTCATGGGTCGATTTCTGAGAGAGTATAACTTTTTAGATCAACATCTCAAACACTCCCGTTAAGAACCTTCTGTGCTTTTGAAGGCACTAGCTTGCTCAATAGTGTACTGCAGCGTCTGCAATAAATAATACAGCTTTTAGCGCTTGTGCAAAGTACCAATTCTTTTGCTGTTTTGACTTGAATTTTACTGAATCGCTAGCCAACGCAGAGAATTAGCGTTTGATGGCTCACCTTTGATTGCACTGTAAGTAGTGCGAGGGTTGTTGCTGATCTTGCTGTAAGCAGAGATGCGACGCCACACAAGAATTATCCTCACGAGCACTTTTATCTTGCACTAAAACGAGTTCTGTAGCGAGATGCACAGTGCGGTCAACAACGTTAATTTGCATATTTGAGTATTCGAAGATGAAGTAAATTGAAATATTTTGCAATCAGAAATCTTTGCTAAATACGGGAAAAAGGTCTGGATCCATCGGATGGCGTGAATGGGAATATGGGAACAGTCATTTGGTCTGTGTAGCATCAGTGCGAAATGGAAATTGTGATTCAGTCTTGCAAGGAAGGAAAAATGATGGATTAGAATTAAGAGGTTGTTTTGAAAGTTTACAACAGAATTTGAAAGGCTGGTAAAGCAACTTACATGAAATATGGCTCAATTTTCGTTTTTGATTAAGTCTTACTGGGATTTCCCTTGGTCTAAATTTTAAGTATTATTTTAGCACGCGCTTTTTCTTGCAGTTATTTACTTTTATTCGATTGTCAATTTGCTGGGCTTGGGAACTGACCAGCTCTAGTTTTGGTGAGTTTTGAGCACATTTAGTTTTATTAGATTCAGACTTAGAACTCTCAAGCGTTTTTGGTCCTATAGTTGGAAACTTCAGACTCTGTGAAACTGCTTATAAGTATTGCTAGTTTTTCTGTGTAAGTTGATTGTAAAAAAAATTGTCTAAGTAAGTTACAAGTAAATAGATTGCTTAAGTTCTCTTCAGCCATAGCCAGCGAAACCAGTGAATGAATTCTAGAACAGTGGCAACGATCAAAAAAAATGCATCGTTTTGAAAAACGCATGTATTTCTCATTGGCGCTAATGTAAATAAGTCTAAGAAATGCTTTAGAAAATAAAGACGTGCGCTTAATTTACCGCATATAGTGCTGTCCGATTTAGAAAACTGCTGCTGCGAATGCGGCTGGACAACTGGGTTTTCAACGGAAGTGAGGGTGGCTGGTGCTGTAGAAGTCAGTAAAACTGCTGAAGTTGTAGCCGGAGAGGCGCTTCGACTTTTCACCACCCATACTCCTTTGCCACTTTCAGATCTAAAATTTACTTGCCACTGGCAAATTTCGTTAAATGGTTAAGTAATGCCATCAATTTTCAAAACCCAGCAGTGTTATTTTTTGTTAGATGAATCGAAGGGGATTCCAAGTAAAATAATCTGATGAAATCTTTTGTTGTCGGACAAAAAACCCCTTACTTTTTTACAAGCAATATCTTGTTTAAGACATCCTCGTGGAATTATATTTCAAATGTTACTAGGCCATACTTCGAAGATTTGGGACTGCTTTCTCGTATTCCCCGACTAACCTTAACCTATGGACACAGGTGCCGTACGATACTAAAAGCAGATTACTGCTTACCTTGCCATCTGGCTATCAAAACAGTAAAACTTACTGCAGGCTTTGCTCGCATTTGAGAAAGAACAGTGTCTGCTTGCCGCCGATGGGCACTTCCGGCGCGTTGATGTCGCATTTACCGCCAATAATCGGCATTATTTGCTGTGATTGCGTCGCACACGAGCCTAGTAAATATGAGAGGACTGTAAGGAGGAAGCTAGAAGAGACCGCGGAGTGCACCATCGCTGCTGCTGCCACTGTTTAAAGAATATGGCTCGAGGAGCACTGTTCGTTGCTGACCATTATAAATCGTATGGTATGCCAGTGAGTACCTAAGTGACCGGTCAGTCGACTTGTTTGTACGAAGGGGCTAAACTCGTTGGAAACCGAAAAGCTGTGTTTGCCGACAACTCAACTCCTCTCTTGTGTCCCGATATACCTCCTGTCCTGTCTTCATCGATGTGTGTCTGCGCTAGAAGCAGTACTAGGAATGTAACCGTCCACTGAATGGAGTAAATCATATTCACTTTAACCATATCCATCCATCCATTCAGTGTTCTGTCAGTTCGCTTTTTCACTTCGTTTTGAATCCCAATTAAGTAAACACAAACACAGAAAGATGTACAAACGAGGACAGACACGCTTTCCTTCGTCTCCTCTTCCTCGCATTCATTCCATCAACGTCGTGGATCCCTTACCAATTTTCCAACTTTGTGTCTCTTTTTTTCTGCATCTATTATATAAAATAATGCAAGTACTTGGAGCTCGTTTACAGTATCGTACCTCCGATTACGAACGTTGTCATCGGAAAGTGAGGCAGTCCGAGGTGGCGAATGCGATAATGTTTTCATACATCTGGTTGACATTAGTGATCTGAGTATTTCCAGTATGATCCGAAAACGACCATTTTAACGTTTGCGATTCTGACCGGCAGTTCATGTCGAACAGTTAATATTCCTAAGCTATATCCAGGTATACAGGAGAAGGGGAAGTTATTGATGGCCTAAGGCGGATTTCCTATCTTGATCATGAGGTAAAAGCATTATGGGAAAACTCTCTATTAGAAAATCACACTTTTCTTGTGAGTGCCTAGCATTCCAAGACAGCTAGAACTAAGTAATAGCTCAGTAGCAGAAGGAATGAATTCTAGCTAAGTTCGGTAGGTGTTGGTGGCTCTAGTCCAGCTGAGCTCAGTGTTTGGAATAAAGTGCATTGCGGGATTCTGAAGAAATACCTAAGTGTTTTATTGGTATTTTTGGTATTTGTAGGATTATTGTAGGAACGATCTGGCGCAATTGCCTTCAGTAAGCATAACAGGAGGATAAAATAAAGCTATTTATAGGACCTAATGAACACCGCAACATTTTGAAAAAGCAATTGTTATCAGTCATCTTCCTTACTAGCTTCTTTTCCTCCCATTTTCATCTGCTAAGGAGAGCTTTCACACTAAGGTACTTAAGCCGATAAAACCACTTTTTCTTCCTGCTCTGAACCCAGTCTTGCCTCGGATCTTCTCTCACCCTAAAAGCTACAGTTTTGTATCTAAAGTAGCTGTCAAAATTTTCTTTAAGCGCAGTTTCCGAAAAGGTATCTATTGACATGGTTCAGTCAGTGACAGCATCTTATTTGTAATGCAGTAAATATATATTCTACAGGCCTTTTCCAGTATGGTCATAATGTGAGTCGTGCTTCAGGACTACAACTGCTATCTTATCACTCGCACTTCCACTGCCGCAGCTAATTGTGAACTAACGAATTAAGCTTGTGACTGATCGATTTTGCACATGCTAAAACAAATATTATCTGATTTTGCTATTATATGGTTTCATGTTCATGAAAATGAAGCCTCTCTTCCAACACAGCATGGGCCAATAAAGAATTATCTTCACTACCTCCGAATTCTTTCAATCATGACTTTTTTAAACATGAATTATCTTCGATGAACATGCTTTCGTCGCTTAGGCGCCACACCCTTTAGATTTACCCTAACTAGAACGAGTGCCTCAAGTGTATAAAGCTGGTTCTCTAGAAATTATGAAAATTACTAAAAGAGTTAATCGGCCCCTCCTTTTTATGCGTTTTTTGCAGCAATGCAATGCGAAAAACGCATATTGACGAGAGGTTGTCTGT